TAAAAAATATTGTTTTATCTTTTTGTCTCCTTTTTAAATGTATAGATAATGAACATGTATATATGGAGTTATCACAAAAGCTTTATAAATATTGTCCAAAAGAATGGAAGAAAGAGGCCAGCAAGGTACGCCAATACGAAGTCACTTGGGTGAGATTGCATTTATGAGAAAAATTATTTTAATTTTTTAAATGTTATTTCAGCTATTATATATTAGAAAACAATTTAACACTGTATTATGCAATGGCGAATAGAAAAGAGAAGTAAGTTCTAAAATGTCAGCTTAATCAAGTATGAATACTTTATAGCATATAACAGTAAATACCTGACGTTATTTTATCAGGTATCAGGTAAAATGGTATCAGATAATAAATCTTTAGTACTCTTGGGATAATGCTTTGAAGTGAAAAATCAAGGTAAATAGAATAAGTGTATGTTTTTGTCCTGCCATCATGTTGATTGTCAAAACTGATGATCTAAAAGTTATAAGTAATTTTTGAATCTACTTATACTTGCATTTGATTGTCTATTTTTTCCACTGTAACTAGTGTCTTTACTTAATAAACTCCAGTTGCACCTGAGAGTATCCACTGTTTTCAGAATCACCCAAATGAGTCAGAAATAAAATCGGTATTTAAGAATTCTTGGAATAAGCTAAAAGACTACTTCAAAGCTAACTACAAAGTAAGGCACATGAATGTCTGAATAAACAAACAGCATATTAGAATTGGGTATGTGGAATGTCAGAGGAACAAGGGAACATTTGTAATAAGGAGCAAATGGTCACCACAGGGGACAGGGCAGTGAGAAGAGCTGAGTCTCAGCTAGAAATTTCCACAGGCATTTATTTTTATCTTCCCTTCTGTTGTCATTGGCATACAGTGAATGAGAATCAGGTAAGAGTGATGGTGCCCAGTTTGCTTTACAAGTTCCTGGTTTTCTGTGGGCCTGGTATTCATATGGGACAACTATCTACCACTTAGTATTAATAAGCCCCCACTGATTAGAAGTAGTTACAACCTTTCAGTGTTTAATCCATTTTGAAATAGCTAAAACTAGCTTCATTTTAAAGTGTGTGTTTGTTTTAGGGTATTGACCAGTTTGGACCTCCTATGATCATCCACTTCCGTGTACAGTACTATGTGGAAAATGGCAGATTGATCAGGTATAAAAAGAGGGAGAGGGTCTAAACTTTTTTTGCCAAGTTACTTACGTCCTTTTTCACATGTTAAAAGAAAGAAGTTACTTATGTTTATTTTTTGTCTTTACCTGCTAGAATATATATAAATTCCATAAGAGCAGGTTATTTTCTGTTTGTTTGTTTGTTAATCTTTTTAATACTTTTCTGTATCATCAGTCCAGGTGTAGTGCTGTGGGTTAATGCACTGAACTACAAAGTCATAGTTTAATCTGCAAGGTCAGCGGTTCACCGACCATTCCTTGGAAACCCTATACAGGGTCCTTATGAGTCAGAACCAACTCAACAGCACATAATAACAGTAGTCCCTAAAACAATGGTGTTGTTGTTGTTGTTAAGTGCCGTCAAGTTAGTTGCAACTCATAGCGACCCTGTATAAGGTTTCCAAGGAGCAGTTGTTGGGTTTGAACTGCTGACCTTATGGTTCGCAGTCGAGGGCTGATCCTACAGTGACTGCAATACCAGGAGTCCCCCTAAAACAATGTAGTTGTTGTTGTTGTTGTTAAGTACCATCAAGTTGACGCCTAACCATAATGACCCTGTACAGGGTTTCCAGGGAACAGCAGGTGAGCTTGAACCGCCGACCTTGCAGTTCAAACGGCTTTGCAGTCTGGTGCATTAACCCACAGTGCCGCACCAGGACTCCTAAAACAATAGACACTCAATAAATAGAAACATGTGACCAAATGATGATGCCGTGACTGTGTTAACCAGGTCACTGGCACACATTTTCTAGATTGCAGATTTTTCAATGACCAATTAGTCTTCAGAAATATATTTCTTTCAGGAAAGAACAAGCACTTTTATGGGGAGTAGAGAAATTAATTAAAGGGTTATATTTTTTTCCAGTGGAGGATGGGTCAGCGACAGGGACCCTCATCCATAAAGTGCCCACTTTTTGTAGAGCCTGGCCTTCTTTCCACATTTGGGGTCTTGCTTCTATTCTTGGCAATAGTTTTAAAGCTAAAATTCAATGGAGCTTCCCTAGGAGAATCTAAGATGTAGTTTGACAATGCCAAGTTAGTAATTCTTGTTCCGGAGGTGGGTGCTTGAGCAGTAATATACTTCTGATACAAGTTCAGAATTCACTGTTTGAAGAGTTCAACTGATCATTTGTATGAACCACGGTGAAGCGGTTAGATGCTCAGCTGCTAACCAATGGGACACTGGCCGCTCTGCATGAGAAACAAACCTGGCAGTATGCTCCCGTAAAGATACAAGCTTAGGAAACCCTATGGGGCAGCTCTACTCTATCCAGTGGGATCTCTGTGAATCAGAACTGATTTGATGGCACATAACAACAGCAATAGAATTGGCGAAACTTTCAGAGATGATTTTATTGGCTGATCGAAAATAATAGTATAGTTAAGCACTGTGTAAATATCCATTCAGGCAAAGTCCAACCACATATAGGTCCGTCGTCCCATAAGCTTAACAGAGAGTGCAGAAATCCTGATTGGAGAATGGGAGAATGGAACATAGCAAATGCATCTACTTTCCACACACAACACGTTTCCTTGTATGCAAAGCATTTGCACTGACATATAATGATGCTAGGCATATATGACCTATAACACGTATGTCGTGATAATCATAATAAACACTAACGTTGCTGACTTATGTATATACTATGTTATCTATTGAAAACACTTGCCATACCTTGAATCACAGGCAGCAGCATCCAGTCTCATGCATTGTTTATCTCTTCAGTGTTGTAGCATTGTTGTTATTGCTAAGTGGCGTCGAGAGAGTTCCAACCTATAGTGACCCTGTATAGGTTTCCAAAGAGCAACAGGTGAGCTTGAACCACTAACCTTGCAGTTCAGACTGACTTTGCAGTCCAGCACATTATTAACCCACAGCACCACACCAGGACTCTGTTGTGGGATTATCTCCATTGAAAATATTATACACTGCATCATGGGTCCCAAACATAGCGAAAGCAGTGCTAGGAATAAGAGCACCAAGAGACAAAGGAGAACCATCAACTTGGAAATAAAACAAAAGGTTATTAAGCAATGCAAAGGTGGTAAATCAGTCAGATATAGGCATGTCACACTCAATAATCACAACGATCCTCAATGGCAAAGAAAAATTCTCCCAGGTGTTAAAGCGCTGACCTCACTGAAAGCTACGGGCCTAAGGAAAATACGAGAGGGACCTATATCAGATATCGAAAAATTGCTAATGGCATGGATTGAAGACCAAACACAAAAGCAAATCCTTCTCAGCACACTGAGGATCACTGCTAAGGCACAAGTGTGTTCAAGAAGCTTAAAGAAAAAGGACCAGACTATGACAGATACGGTGTTCACACAACATCCAAACCACATGAGGCCCTATATCACAGAAAGTATGAACATTAAGCTTTGTGTGACTATAATGTGAACTCTGTTTTACTTAACTTATTTTGAACCTTGAGAAACCCTGTGTAAAAGAGATAAAGATGTACTTGGCTAATGAGTTATATAGAAAAGATTGGTTCTTTATGTTTATATCATTCTAGATGTGCATTAAAAAACAAAACAAAACAAAACCCACTGCGAGTCAGTTCCAACTCATAGCGAACCTATACAGATTTCTGAGACTGTAAATCTTTATGGGAGCAGATGACCTCATCTTTCTCCTATGGAGCAGTTGATGGGTTTGAACTGTTGACCTTTCAGTTAGCAGCCTAGTACCTAACCCACAGTGCCACCAGGGTTCCTTCGATGCATATTACAATGTAAAATATAATAGCCAGTAAAGAATTTGTTTTTTAAAGCAGATAAACTTCATCAGTTATTCTCAATTTATATAAATTTTTTTCTTTGTTTACCTGGATAAGTGTGGAATCCACCAGCAAGAAGAAAAATGTATTAGTTAGCCACTGTGGCGCCATAGTTTAAGCACTCAACCTAAAGGTTGGTTCGAACCACAAGGTTGGCAGTTCAGTTCACCAACTGCTCCTCAGAAACCCTGTTTAGGGTCACTATAAGTCGGAATCGATTTGACAGAACTTAACAACAACAAGAGAATGTAGTGTGGTGGTGGTGGTAGAATGCCACCAAGTCGGTTCTGACTCATAGGAACCCTGTACAGGATTTCCAATACTGTAACTATTTATAGGAGCAGAAAGCCTCAAATTGCTGACCTTGGCATTAGCAGCCCAACCCATAGCCCACTACGCTTTTAGCTAAAAAAAAAAAAAATTTAAAAAAAGGCAAAATAAGGAATAACAAAGCATGAAAGCCAGAATTGCCCCTTTAAATTTGACCTTATTCATGTCTGATATGAAGCATCATTATAGGAAAATTATTTTTGTATGGACAGCCAATGCCTAGGCTTCTAATTGGTGGTGGTGGTGGTGGTGGTGGTGGTGGTGGTTGTGTGCCGTGGAGTCAATTCTGACTCATAGTGACCCTGCACAGGGTTTCCAAGGCTGTAAATCTTTACAGGAACAGAAAGCCTCATCTTTCTCCCATGAAACGACTGGTAGTTTCGAACTGCTGGCCTTGAGATTTGCAGCCTGACTCGTAACCATTATGCTACCAGAGCTCCTTAGTCTTCTATTCTAGCACTTGTTAAATAAAATACCGTGTTGGAGTGGAGTGATTCAGACCTTTCTCTACTCTGAATGAATCACACGTAACTTAAAAGCTGTAGGAGATAGATTATATCTTTGTAGCCTGGGTAATCTGACAGGTAGTCTGACTCCCCACAGCCTCAGGAACACAGCAATCAGGTGTTAGCTAAAACCTCTCCGTTTTCAGTGGGGAAGGAGAGGCAGAGATGGTTGGGCTCCTGTCACTGGATGGATAGAGCAGAATTTGGGTTCTGTTTACATGCCATTGAATTGTTCCCTCAAAATGTGAGTTCTGTTTTCTTTTCTTTTCCTAGTGACAGAGCAGCAATATACTATTATTACTGGCACCTGAGAAAACAAGTTCTTCATTCTCAGTGTGTGCTCCGAGAGGAGGCCTACTTCCTGCTGGCAGCCTTTGCCCTACAGGCTGATCTTGGGAACTTCAAAAGGAATAAACACTATGGAAAATACTTTGAGCCAGAGGCTTACTTCCCATCTTGGGTAGGCACTGTTTTCAAATTCTAAAGAGTGTTTTCTCTAACACGTTTCTAGTGTATTGTGCTGCTTACTCATGCTGCTTCAGAACCTGGGAACCCAGATGATTTGTGGTCTGTAAATCCTTTCGTGATGCCCCAGTATAAACTAAACACTTGACAGCTTAGTACACAGGATGTCTTGATTCATTCTTACTGCTTATCTGCTGTTAGCTAGTGGGGAAGAGACTTGCTGGCTATCTTAAGATGGTGGTCAGGCTTGGAATCTTTCACCCTTCTTTTGGCATTTACATGGTCTTGACCTTTTTAATCTTCTGTTATTGGAGTGACATTTTCCCCTGTTTGAAGGGAGAAAAATATTAGTCTTTAAAAGATGAGATCATTCGTGGCTTCTCCTGTGCTAAGAAAACAAACAAATGTAAGTATGTCAGCTCTTGGTTCCAACTACCATCAGCTTCACTCCTAGGAGAGAAATAGAAAAGACCCTTTTACTTCAGTATCAACTACTGTATCAACTACCTTTTTCCACTTTACTCTGTACACATGTAATGCCATCCTCATCTTCTCACCTTCTTTGTCTACTAGGAGACTCCCTGCCTTTCTTGGCACCATCCCTCCCCATTCTTCTAGGTCTCTGTCTTTGTTCTTTTCTGTATCTTGAACCTCTCCTTCATACTGACTCTCGTTATTCAGAACATACAGTAGTGGTCAATTCCCACACACCCATCCTCAGAAGAGAAAAAGGAACAGGAGAAAGAGCTACTGGTTTTGTCTTCCCTTTTCAGTAAAGCTTCTCAAAAGAGCAATGACTGACTATATGCTTCCCCCCGCTCCCCCATATGCAAGGGGACTTTAAGAGGCTCATGGGAAAATTCCATTGTCTTTTAACTCCATTTTTCAACAAACTTTTGGATGCCCATTGTATTTCCAACCCATTTCCCACCTTGCTGCCTTCTCTCACCATTCCACTAAAGGTGCTCTACCTAAAGTGAGTTCTGGTTTGCCGAATCCAGTGGACACCTCCCTTCTATTCCTGACTAGAAGTGCCACCTGTACTCTTCATCAGTCATTCACACATTGGGAGATCTCATCTACAATAAGACTTGTAACAACCACCTATTACGTTCTGGCAACTCCTAAGTCTGTCTCCTCTGGTCACGTGTTGTTGTCAAGTACCGTCAAGTTGCTTCCAACTCATAGTGACCCTGTATAGGGTGCCTGAGGAGCAACTAGTGGGTTTGAACTTCCAACCTTGTGGTTAGCAGTTCAGTGCTTATCCTATAGTGCCACACTAGAGCTTCATAAGCACTTCAAACTCAAAATATCCCAAATTAAATTCATCTTCTTCTCACTCAGTGTTATGTATTTCTACTTCTGTATCCCCACTTTCAGGACCTGGCACTGCTGTCCACTCAGTTGTCCAGAAACTTGAGAACCATACAGGGTTACCCCTTGTCACCTTTCTTACCATCTCCCACCTCCCCCTCATCCAGACAACTACACCATCCTCCAACAGACACCTGACTACCTGTCATACAGCTTACAAAATCATATTCTCTTATCATCTGATGTTACTATTGTTAACTTCCTAGATGTTTATGGGATCCCCACCCCCCCATTATTGATACCATTTCCCTTGTTCTGTCTCCTAGACTGTACTTGGCAGCATTATTTTGAAGATTTGTCCCAGCCTTAGTCTTTACTGCACGGCTTGCATATGAAATTTTGTTTCTGTTTGTCACCTACAGTGTAAAACTCAGGCTCCCCAGCATAGCCCAGGAGCCCTCTAGGATATGGTTCCTCCAGTGGTTCCAGATTCCTATCTGCTTGTCTTACACATTGAGCCTTAGGCCCTAGTAACACCCAGCAGTTTGTACTTCTCCCCATCTACTGCAGTGTTTCATACTTCCTGGCTTTCGTTCCTACAGTTCCTTTAAATTGTGAAGCCCTGCCCCCTTTTCACCTAGCTAACTCCTCCTCAGCCTCCAAGACTCAGCTTTGACATGGTTCCCTCTGGGCAGACTATCTGGGTGATGAGTGCCCTCCTCTAGGCTTAGTAAGTCCCTAGAGACAAGTCTGTCAAAGTGTTTTACATCATATTTCCATATGATCTGTTTGTCTCCTGCCCCCATAGAGGACAGGTATCTTTGTCAGCACTTCATGTCAAAGTCCTTAATAACTTTTTGTCGACAGACTTACATCACCACTTCCGTTATTGAAGAGAGACCATGAAAGGTCAAGCTTTTACATATCAGTGTCTACTGGATCAAATTAGCTGATATGTACATTATCTGGTTGTCATTAAGTGCCCCCTGCATCTTGGTCATTTAAACCAGGGTTTCCCAATGGGTGTGCCATGGCACCTACTGTGCCGATGTTTCCAGGCTTCTCAAACATGGGATGGCCAAATCCTTATGCTTCACTGCTCTTACAAATGTCATTTTCTATGCATTTTGGATCTGTAAAAGCTTGTCAATTACTGATAGATATTATCTCCATCTAAAGTCTAGGATTCTAGAAAGGAAAATTTGTAACAAAACTTGTTAATCAATCAATCATTCAGCATATTTAATTACCTATAAAATATTCAATCTGAAGAATCGGAATGTCAATATCTATAAAGATATATTTTTAAAATAAAACTTCTCTAGTTTCTTTTTTTTCTGATCATTTTAAACTACTCATTTTGTTCAGTTAGCATAATTCTTTCCATATTTTGTAATCTTTATGAAATCAGCTAAGACTTTAACTCATCAACACATCAACACCTTTCTGTTAGCCTGCAGCTGCTGTATACTGTATGTTTTTGGCATCCTAAGGCTTAGACCACTGTCGGATGAAAATTTAAGCCAGCATGAATCGTGCTTAATGTTTGAGTGACATTGTTTTCTCTTACATACTCAAATAGAATGAATGTTCATATTCAGCCCCTTATGCAAGAAACCAAAATTGTTTCAGAGAATCCGTCCTTTTTTGGATTAACATTCAGAACCTCCCACTTTGTGCCTATAATTTTAGAAGAGTTAAGTAAGTTTTAGAACCTGGAAAAGTGCTGAAAGTAGATACAGCTCATACCAACAATTTTGCAAGTACAATGTTGTATACAAAATTATGTGAATTTGCATGGCTTCTGTCCTGGTGATTTTAAAGCCAAAAGAAGGTATTTTTTTCATTTCTTGTGATTTTTCTTCTTAGGTATGCAGCACTACAGCAAAATTGACTTTGTAGCTTGCTAATCTTAGCCAATTCAGCTAGTAACATAACAGATGGTGAAAACAGGATAATAGTGGGACTTTTCTAGTGGAAATTAGCCAATTGACATGGCCTATTTTCGGTTCTCTTCCTTTCATCATTTTGGGGGTGTGGGTAGTACTTACATCCCTCTGACAAATGTTACATTGCACATCCCTTGTATTCCAACAGGTTGTTTCCAAGAGGGGGAAGGACTACATCCTGAAGCACATTCCAAACATGCACAAAGATCAGTTTGCACTGACTGCTTCCGAAGCCCATCTTAAATATATCAAAGAGGCGGTCCGACTGGATGATGTCGCTGTTCATTACTACAGATTGTTTAAGGTACAAAAGTGCAAAAAGTTTGCAACATTTGAGGAGAAAGAATCCAACAAAGATCTCAATTAAGAGTAACTTTTATTGAAAATTGATCATTGATACAGGTTTTCAAATACACTTTTAAAAGAGTTGTTTGAACTGCTATTGATTATCACAGGTTAGTCTTGGAAACAGCGATTCTCCGTTTTCTTTGGCAGAGAAGCAGGCTATAGTACTTTTAAGTGATCCTAACAATGAAATAACAAGTGGCTACAAATTGTTTACCTGACTCTTCAGTGATTACAAATCTGCTTTTCTGCTTTGGGAAGTAACATTGGCAACTTGTTTCATCATATTTTTTATATTCCTCAAATGAAGTTATACTCACACCCTATCAGTAAATAGTAAGAATGTTAATCACAACCGCTAATGTTTATTGGGCACGCACTTTGTCTTTTTTTGAATTCCTCATAGCTCTACTAAGTAGAACCTGCTGTAGCCCTCATTTAATAGGCCAGGAAAATGACTGAATCTTGTCGTTATTGTTGTGTGCTGTTGATTGAGTTCCAACCCATAACAATCTTGTATAGAGTTTCTGGGAACAGAAAGTCTCATCTTTCTCCCACAGAGTGGCTGGTGAGCTCAAACCACTGGTCTTATAGTTCCCAGGCCAGTGCTTGTCCTCTAGAGCCATTTAACTTTATTGGGTGCACGTACTCTTTTTAAACTAAGTCTTAAATAATTCACCAAAGATCACAACACTAGTTAGTGTCTCAGAGTCAGTGTACAACCCAGGTCTTGCCAGCAGGCTTCCATTGCAGAAGTTAGCTGCTCTCTTTTTTGTCCTGCCCATCATATAATCTCATTTTTCCATCCCACGTTGGAGGTCACGCACCAAGTGACATTTAGGGTTGGACTCTGCAGGGAGCCACTCTCACTACAATTCATTGTCATTGCTCCTCACTCCCCAGTTTAGCAACATCATTGGCAAAACTCCTGAACTCTCGCTTTAAGCTCTCAAAGGTGTGATTTCTAACCAACTGAAAATGCATTGTGGTCTGTTGGTCCTACATACCTGGGATTGAATTCCAGCTTTGCCTCTAGCTCTGTGACTTCAGGCAAGTTTCTTAAGCTTTCTTTGCTTCAGTTTCTCCATAGTTAAGTAGGGAGAATCAGCTCTTAAGGTTATTGAAGAGTATTGGAGGAAAATGCTTTAACACATGTTAAGCGTGATGTAGTTGCTGCTGTTAAATTATCAGCATCACTGTTACGCTTGCTGTTTCCACTATGGAGCCCTGATGTGACGCTATAGGATAAGCACTGGATGGCTAACCGAAAGGTTAACAGTTCAAACCCACTAGTCACTCCTCAGAAGTCCTATGCAGGGTCATTATGAGTTGGAACCAACCCAGTGTCACTTAACAAGAGCATTTCCACTATACCTTTGTAGAAAGATTAGCATAACTAAACCATTGGAGACTGAACTTTGAATATAGTGATAAACAGGAGAGACATTGCTAATGCCTTTCATCCTTGAAAGGCATACTTGAGTTTCTTAAGATCTCTTAGCAAAATTTCTGAAGGGCTTTGTTGTTGTTTTTGCCTGAAGAGATTCCATTTGTGACTCTTCAGATATACTTCAGTTTATACTATTTCTGTATGGTGAGAAAATGCAAAGAAATGAAACTCTGACAGTATATATTTTAAAATATATTAGAAATTTGAATGCCTATTGGAAAGAGTGAAATTTTGAGATCACCTATCATTTAGAAACCCTAGGTCAACTTACCATCACTGGGATCATAGGCAAATATAACTATAATCCTGGGAATGATATCAAGCTCTTTACAAGTCTGAGAGGATTCAATGAGGTCATGAATCGGAAGTAACTAGAAGGCGCTCCTGGCACAGTGGTGACTGCTGAGTACATATCAATTACTTCATTGCCTTATTTAGTAGGGGAGCTTGCTGTTTTAAAGAATCCTATTAAGAACTGTCTGTTGTTGTTGTGCTGCTGTGTGCCGTGGAGTCAGTTGTGACTCATAGTGACCCTGTGTAGGGTGTCCAAGGCTGTACATCTCTCTGGGAACAGAAAGCCTCATCCTTCTCTCACAGAGCAGCTGGTGAGTCAAACAGCTGATCTTGTGGTTAGCTGCCCAACAGGTAACCCACTATGCCACCAGGATTTCTAAGAACCCTTTATTGTTAAGGGCCAATGAATCGGTTCTGACCTGTAGGGACCCTCTAGAGGGTTTCCAGGGAGCAGCTGGTGAACTTGAACTACCACCCTTGCAGTTCAAACCAACTTTGTAGTCCTGTGCATTGACCACAGCGCCACACCAGGACTCCAAAGAACCCTTTAGTGAAGCATATATACCCAACTTATCTTTTGTTTAAAAGTTGTTTTCTCAAATTTGCTTAAATTGTTTTACTTCTAATATGACTCTTGTCTGCTTAAAGCAAGATGTTTAATAAAGGTATAACTGAATAACATTAAAAAAAAAAGTAAGTATCAATATCTCATGGGCAGAGTTGCCATTCTTTGGAAGGATCAAGCAATTAAAATCGCTTCATTTAGGAATTGCTTATAAAATAGAAACAAGATACACAAGGTGGAAGATAAGATGTACACAAATTCTCCTGCCTTACACACACAACCAGCATTTTTATGAGCACAGTCTTATTTCAAGAAGCAGTCAGAACAGCTCTGAAAAGGAAATTGGCCTAAACTTATATTGTAATGGATTGGTTTCTCCTGTTAAGTCTATAGTGTGTACATTTCTCTTTATGTAAAAAATGGATTCGTTGGGTAAAACCAGCCCACATAGTGAAAGTAGTCTGTCTTCTGTTTATTACTCCAGGAATGGATGCATTTTCTAAAAATATTACTTCTTGTGTTCATGGGAAAACTTGCATTAAGCATAATAAATATCTGTATATAGTCATTTATTGTTTTTATTAAGAAATCTCATAATGAAAAAAATTATTTATCTTCTCTTTTGAAATTCATGCTTACATAATACACCTGTATTCATATTACACATAAGTACTTTAAAGACATGAACAAATTTCAGGATGTATTTTTAATTTTGGATTTTTTTCCCCTTATATTCCTAGTACTTCATTTCTTTATGCATTATGATTTAGTTGGTAGAATGTATATATCATATTGATAAATGATCATTGGAAAGAAAAAAATTATTTTTAAGCTGTTCAAACTAAATGAATATGGAAGGTTTTTACAGCTTTGCCATTTATCCTCATGAGAGAACTTTAAATATTTAGTCACACTTCTCTCATTTTCACTTCAGACTTGAAATATTTGCCCAGTTTTAAAGGTATACAGTCTAGTGCACCTCAGAAGGTATCATGATATGTATTTATAATATGTATTGTATAGTGAAAAACACAATACAAATATCAATGATTTTTAAGTAGAATATTTGATTATTGATAGAATGTGTGCTCAGGGTTTTATTAAATCATACGGAAAACTTGTTGTTGTTGCTAAGTGCCGTGGAGTCGGTTCCGACCCATAGCGACCCTGCACAGGGTTTCTGAGGCTGTAAATCTTTACGGGAACAGAACGCCTCATCTTTCTCCCGTGGAACCGCTGGTAGTTTCGAACTGCTGACCTTGCGGTTCACAGCCCAATTCGTAACCACTACACTACTAGAGCTCCTTACAGAAAACTAGAGATATGGAAAAATTTAAAGGTATTTTAAGTAAAATTGTTCCGGTCTAGTGTTTTGGTGCTGAATTGTCCATTGTAGAAAAAAAACCACTCTTTTTCATAAAATTTTATTACTACAGGATAAAAAAGAAATTGAAGCTTCACTGACCCTTGGCTTGACGATGCGGGGAATACAGGTTTTCCAGGTTGGTAAATGGAAAATAAATAGAAAATGGCACCAGCGGTGTCTTGCCTTTATAGCCATGTGCCTCTGTGGTCTTGAGACAGGTTCATTTCTTGCCATGACTGGCCAAGATTTCCTGTTTTATCTAGCAGAGTAGGTGATATGGAATAGGTGAAAAGAGTCAACCCAAATCTAGACGGTAATAAATTCTCTATAACAGAAAAGTTAAGCCACAGAATAGCCTGAGTTCATCACCAGATCACTGGAAGACCATTAATATATAAGAAATCTTCTTTTCTAAATATCAAATGATTTTAAATATTCTCTTTTATCCTCTGGAACATTCATAACTTTGGAAAGAAAAAATCTGCACTTTCTATGATACCTGACTGATGTTTTAATTCCTGTTACAGTTTTCTGATAAAATGTGCTCCTTGAATAAGTAGTAAGTGCCACCTTTTTTGCAGCGGGATAGTGCCATCCTACAGCCATCAGCAGGGGAGAAGTATCCTCTCTGCCAGGCACAGAATGTGAGAATGTCTGATTTTTGATAGAGGCAAGATATCTAATTATGAAAGTCTGAGTGTTTTATCTCATCACTCCAATGCCTGAATCTTCTGGACTTTAAATTTAGGATAAGGCCAGAAGGGAAAGATTACCTTAGAAAGGGCCAGTTGATGTAGCCACTCAGAAACTAGAAGCTATAGAATTCTGTCATTTATCTTTTCTTTACTTTCTGCACCTCTCCAAAGAGAGTTAGGGATTTTTTTCAAATTGTAATGACTAAATTTTCATTTTCTAGGAAAGACATAAGAACCATTTAGAGTCTCTGTCAGTTTCCCCAGTAACTCTTGATGTGTTGTAATTCTTTAATTCTTTCTACAGAATTTAGATGAAGAGAAACAATTACTTTATGATTTCCCCTGGACTAATGTTGGAAAGCTGGTGTTTGTGGTAAGTTTATAATAGCTGACTAAAAAGACTGACTCCTTAGTTGTCTGTTTTTGTGGACTTTTGTTGTAGTTTTTGTTTTTATTGTCCTGAGCACAAAAATTGGCATTTTTTAAAAGTTGAAGTTAAAGATAATAGTTGTCATTATTGTTGTTAAGTGCCATCAAGTCGGTTCCAACTCCTAGCCAACCCCGTATAGGGTTTCCTAGGAGCAACTGGTGGGTTTGAACTGCTGACCTTGTGGTTAGCAGCCTAGTGCCTATCCTACAGCACCACACCAGGACTCCTGAATTAGCGTCATGTATTCTTTTTGCATATGCTGGAATCCTTATCAGTCATATTGATAAAGAACATCAAAATCAAAGAGCCTTTTAGCAAAAGTAGCTACTAATTTTATGTATGGGTTCCTACCACAAACATAGTTATTCTTGTTGCAGAAAAAATGTGGCGGGGAAAGCCCCAAGATGGGTTCATTAAATAGAATTATTTTGAACACCTCCAACAGTGGGATGAGAAAACATAAGGCTCTAATCACAGGGCACATTATTCTTACTGTGGGAGTTGGCCAGTTCTCTTGGAGGCTACTTCTTTTGAGCAAATAATAACGAGTGATATCAGAGATGTTTCTCTTACTGACTGTTTGAAACTCTTCATTATAAAAGAGTTCTACAAATCTTAACAAGTACTTTTATGTTTAGAATACTGAGAGTGATATACTTTCTTTTTGTTAAAACTAATTCTTGATCCCCCACTCCAGCTGTTGTTTGTTGTTGTTGTTGTTTTGTTTTTTAATAATATGTATGTATGGTGGTGGTTATGTGCTGTGGGGTTGGTTCCGACTCATAGTGACCCTGCATAGGGTTTCTGAGGCTGTAAATCTTTGTAGGAGCAGAAAGCCTCATCTTTCTCCACCGGAATAGCTCGTAGTTTCGAACTGCTGACCTGAGGTTAGCAGCCCAATTCGTAACCACTACACTACTAGAGCTCCAATATGTATGTATGTATGTTGTTGTTATGTGCCATCAAGTCGGTACCAACTCATAGCGACCCTATGTACAGCAGAACGAAACACTGCCCAATCCTGGGCCATCCTCACTACTATTGCCACGCTTGAGTCCATCGATGCTGCAACTTGGCCAATCCATCTCGTTGGGGGTCTTCCTATTTTTCTCTGACCCTCCACCTTACCAAACATGATAGCCTTCTCAAGTGACTGGTCCCTCCTGACAATATGTCCAAAGTATGAGAGACGAAGTTTGGCCTTCCTGGCCTACAAGGAGCACTCTGGCTATGCTTCTTCCAAAACAGATCTGTTGATTCTTTTGACAGCCCATGGCACTTTCAATATTCTCCTCCAACACTTTAACCCCAAAGCGTCAATTCTTCTGTGGTCTTCCTTATTCACTCTCCAGCTTTCACGTGCATATGAGGTTATTGAAAATACCATGGCTTGGGTCAGGCGCACTTTAGTCCTCTAACTGACATCTTTGCTCTTCAACACTTTAAAAAGGTCTTGTGCAGCAGATTTGCCTAATGCAATACATCATTTGTTTTCTTGACTGCTGCTTCCTTGAGTGTTGCTAGTTGATCCAAGAAGAATGAAGTCCTTGACAACTTCAGTCTTTTCTCCATTGATAAGAGTGTTGTTTATTGGTCCAGTGGTAAGGATTTTTGTTTTCTTTACATTGAGACGTAATCCATACCAAAGGCTGTGCTCTTTGATCTTCATCGGTAAATGTTTTAAGTCCTCTTCACTTTCAGCAATCAAAGTTGTATCATTTGCATATCACAGGTTGTTAATGAGTCTTGCTCCAAACCTGGCGCCACGTTTTTCTTCATATTATTTTTATGAAATAATTATTTGCTTCTCAGGTTATTTGCTCAGCATACAGGTTGAATAAGTATGGTGAAAGAATACAACCTTGTCGTACCCCTTTCTTAAACCATTCAGTGTTCCTATGTTTGGTTCGAACCATCTGCCTCTTGGTTCAAATGCAGATTCCTCATGAGCACAATTAAGTGTTCCGGAATATTCATACTTCGTAATGTTGTCCATAGCTTGTCATGATCCACACAATCGAAAGCCTTTGTTTAGTCAATAAAGCACAGGTAAACATCTTTCTGATGTTCTCTACTTTCAGACAAGATCCATTGCACATCAGCAATGATATCACTTGTTCCATGGCCTCTTCTGAATCTGGCTTGAACTTCTGGAAGTTCTCTGTCAATGTATGCTTGCAGCCATTTCTGTATTGCTTTTAGTAAAACTTTACCTAGAGGAATGGTGTTGCATTCATAGTCAAAAAGAACATATCCAGATCAGTCATGAGGTACAACGCTGTCTGTGATAGGATAATATCCATGCGCCTACAGGGAAGCCCAGTTAATACCACTATTATTCAAATTTACACACCAACCACTAAAGCCAGTAAGGATGAAATAGAAGAATTCTACCACCTTCTTCAATCTGAAATTGATCAATCATGCAATCAAGATGTATTGATCATTACTGGTGATTGGAATGCGAAAGTAGGGAGCAAAGAGGAAGAATCAGTAGTTGGAAAATATGGCTTTTTGTGATAGAAGTGATGCTGGAGAACACATGATCGAATCTGAAAAATCAATGATTTGTTTATTTCAAATACCTTCTTTAGACAGCATAAGAGACGACTATGTATATATGTTGTTGCTATTAGGTGCCATGGAGTCTGTACCGACTCATAGCGACCTTATGCACAGCAGAACGAAACACTGCCTGATCCTGGGCCAACCTCACTACTGTTGCCATGCTTGAGTCCATCTATGCTGCCACTTGGCCAATCCATCTCGCTGGGGGTAGTTGTCATTAAAGTCCATGATTTTGCTTTGTTCAAAAATTATTGAGAAGAAAGTCCACACATACACAAAGCAGGAAAATAAGGATTTGAACCTGCACTTGTCTCTTGCAAGGAAGCTGGCCTATATGAATAAAGGAATATATTGCCAAATAGAATGTGAGTACTGACTCACCTTACCCACTGAGTCAAAAGACCTGTTCTCCCTTTGCATTAATTACTTGGACACAATTCAATTTGATTTCACTGTACTCATACATTCAATAGGACTTGACCTGCTGCCACTTCATGGTTCTCTTGTTCAAACTCTTTGTGAGAGGATCAGAGCTCCTTGAAAATGAGCATATTATAATCCTACTTGTCCCTTTCATGTCACAAATTAAAGCAGCAAAAAAAGACATTTTGGACTCCTGGTGTTGTGCTCGAAGGTCAGCACTGGACTGCAAACCACAAGACTGGTAGTTCAAACCCACCTGTTCCCCGGAAACCTGAGTCGGAACTGACTCGGTGTCACTTTACAACAACAAAAGACACTTCGGAATTAGTAGTTGCTGAACCTAGTTGTAAAAATGCCAGGACGGGGAATGAGAATTAAATTCAACGTCAACCTGAAGACCATTCTTATGAAGCAGGTCAGACATGCCGTCACCATATAACTTTCTGTACTTTATTCTGACACCAACTATCTCTCCCAAGGCACTCTACTTTTCTTCTGTGTTCTGTTGCATTCCATTGTGTTCCATTGCAGTGGCCACACAGAACTCACAATACAGTACTCACTGTTACAGGGTTTACTAGGGAAGTGATGTTGATAGGTGCTGTTGAGTTGGTGCTGACTCATAATGACCCTATGCTCAACAGAAGGAAACACTTGCCCAGTCCTGCACCATCTTCACAAATGTTGTTATGTGTGAACACATTGTTGCTGTCACTATCTGAACCCATCTTATTGGAGGTCTTCCTCTTTTTCGGTGACTTTACTAAACATGAGATATCCTGGGGCTGGTCCTTCCTGACATCATGTCAAAAGTACAATACATTCAAGTCTTCCCATCCTCAATTCCAACAATAGTCAGCTGTACTTTTCCCAAAACAGATTTGTTTGTTCTTCTGGCATTATTACGTTTTATATTCTTAGCCAACACCATAACTCAAATGCATCAATTCTTCACCTGTTTTCTTTACTCATTGTCAGGTTCCACATGCGTATGAGGCAATTAAAAATACCCTGGTTTCAGTGAGGTACACCTTGCTTCTCATTGACGTCTTTGCTCTTTAACACTTTAAAGAGAGATTTTGCAACAGATTTGTCCATTGCCATACGTCATTTGATTTCTTGACTGCTTCTTCCATGAGTGTTATTCGTTGATCCAAGCAAAATGAATCTTTGACAACTTCAGTCTTTTCTTCATTCATGATCATGTTACTTATTGATCCAATTGTGAGGACTTTTGTTTTCTTTACATTGAGGTGCAGTCCTTATTAAAGGCTATATAGCCTTTGATCTTCATTAGTAAGTGCTACAACTCCTCTTCACTTCTAGCAAGCAAGGTTGTGTCATCTGCATGTCACAAGTTGTTAATGAATCTTCCTCCAGTCCTGATGCCACATTGTTTTTCATATGATTCAACTTCTCAGATTATTCACTCAGCATTCAGATTGAATCAGTATGGTGGGGACAGACACAACCCTGGCATATATACCTATCGGATTTTAAATCATTCAGTATCACCTTGTTCTATTCAAGTGTCTGCTTCTTGCTGTATGTACAAGTTCTTAATAATAACAACAATGAGTTGTTGTGGAATTCACATTCTTTACAATTTATCCATAGTTTGTCATGAACAACATAGGCAAATGCCTTTGCATAGTCAATATAGCACAAGTAGCATTGTCTACAGTTCTTCCAGTCAGGAGCATCTCTTCTGAGCTGTGCCTGCAGGTATGCCTCTCTCTCTGGTCCTTGGTCTCTCAGCCATGTGGCTCCTTGGCCTCTGTCCTGCTTGGTTAATGTTACAAAGCTCCTTTCATGATGCTGATAAATGCCCAAGGGGCATCACACTCCACCCTAAGCCTTAGCCTAAAGGTGCTTGGTTCTAGTTCCCTGGTCAGCAAACCTGGCTTCCCTGATCACGTTCCTGGAGACACCCCACTTCCCAGTCAAGCCGCTTGCCCAAAGACACAGCCTTACTTGCTCCATGGACTGGGAAGCTTGACACTCTTGTTTTGTGTCTGCTGTCTCTGTTGACACCACTTCTGTGGTGTCAAAGCCCTTTGTCTCCCACATCAGAGAGGTTCAGCACAAGGATCTCGGGATCCAAAAGTCACACTTTCGGGATGGTAGTGAGATCCTGCTCCTGAGATGGCTCATTTTAAACCCATCAGAATAGCAAAACAGACCAATCCCTACATTAGAGTTTCATACACTCTATTGGTATGATCACACCCAGTCATTGAGTAGGAACTGCAAAGATTGCTTAGAAGAGCCATATCAAGTCATTCACTGGACCACACTAGTTATGCATCACCTTCATCTGAGGAGCGTGTTCAATATACAGCTTTCTGGGTATCGTCCACACACATCATGAGATGATTGATTTCAGTGGATCTTGAGTAAAGACCAGAAATCTATGTTGACAGGCTTCCCAGATTATTCTTGCAGCCATTCCAGCTCTGCTTAACTGTGTGACCTTGGGCAAGTTACTTAACCTCTCAGTGCATTGGTTTCTTTATTCTAAAGTGAGGATGATTTATTATGGGGATTAAATGAGTTAATATGTACTTGGTGGTGATGGTAGTGGTGTGCTGTGGAGTCGATTACGACTCATAGTGACCCTGGATAGGGTTTCTGAGGCTGTAAATCTGTGCAGGAACAGAAAGCATCATCTTTCTCCCATGGAGTACCTGATGGACTCGAACTACTGACCTTGCAGGTAGCAGCCCAATGTATAACTCACTAAGCTACCAGGGCTCCTATTATATATTTTTAGTGCTGAGTTATAACTAGTCTAACATTTAAGATCTCTTGGTGAATCCTTTAAAATAAAACTCAGAGGTAAAAAAATTCTGTTCCTTTCTGGGGTTTCAGAAATCCATATTGCTGTGTATAGACTTTGAGGTTTATAGTTAGAATATACTACTCTCCCCTCCAGCTAAGGAACGTCTCTTTTTATAATCCTATTACTTATTAGGAAATTTTGTGGAAAATTCTATTATCTATCTAAATTCTATTATAGTTAAAAGCTATATTTTTTTTTCCCTAAACTTTGTGGAAGACAACTGTCTGGCCAACTGAATGGAAGAGATCTGTATTTGTGCCCATTCCAAAGAGAGTAACCCAACGGAATGCGGAAATCATTGGACAATATCTTTGATATCCCATTTGAGTAAGTTTTACTAAAGGTAGTACAGAAACGGCTGCAGGCATACATTGACAGAGAACTTCCAGAGGTTCAGGCTGGATTCAGAGGAGGATATGGAATGAGGGATATCATTTCTGATGTCTGATGGATCTTGGCTGAAAGCAGAGAATACCAGAAAGATGCTTACCTGTGCTTTATTGACTATGCAGAGGCTTTCGATTGTGTGAATCATGACAAACTATGGACAACATTGTGAAGTATGAGTATTCTGGAACACTTAATTGTGCTCATGAGGAATCTGTACCTGGACCAAGAGGCAGTTGTTCGAACAGAACATGGGAACACTGAATGGTTTAAAATTAAGAAAGGTGTGCAATACCATTCTTATTCAGCCTGAATGCTGAGCAAACAATCAGAGAAACTGGGTTCTATGAGAAAAACGTGGCATCAGGATTGGAGGAAGACTCATTAACAACCTGTGATATGCAGATGATACAACCTTGATTGCTGAAATTGAAGAGGACTTAAAATGTTTACTGATGGAGATCAAAGACCACAGCCTTCGGTATGGCTTGCATCTCAATGTAAAGAAACAAAAATCCTCACCACTGGACCAATAAACCACATTCTTATCAACGGAGAAAAGATTGAAGTTGTCAAGGACTTCATTCTTCTTGGATCAACCATCAACACTCATGGAAGCAGCAGTCAAGAAATCAAACAACGTATTGCATTAGGCAAATCTGCTGCACAAGACCTTTTTAAAGTGTCAAAGAGCAAAGATGTCAGCTTGAGGACTAAGGTGCGCCTGACCCAAGCCATGGTATTTTCAATAACCTCATACGCATGTGAAATCAGAACAGTGAATAAGGAAGACTATAGAAGAAATGGTGCTTTTGAGTTATGGTGTTGGAGGAGAATATTGAAAGTGTCATGGGATGCCAAAAGAACAAACAGATGTCTTGGAAGACGTGCAGCCAAGAGTGCTCCTTGGAGGCCAGGATGGCCAAACCTCGTCTCTCATACTTGAGACATATTGTCAGGAGGGACCAGTCACTGGAGAAGGATTTCATTTTTGGTAAGGTGGAGGGTCAGAGAAAAAGAGGAAGACCCCAACGAGATAGATTGGCCAAGTTGCAGCATCAATGGGTTCAAGCGTGGCAACAATTGTGAGGTTGGCCCAGGACTGGGCAGTGTTTAGTTCTGTTGTGCATAGGGTTGCTATAAGTTGGTACCAACTTGATGACTCCTAACAACAACAACATAAGTCTGGTATCATTAACACAAAGTTGTTGCCTAAAGCTCAAAGCTCCTTATTCATATGAACTCATTGCCCTATCCATTATTAGGAAAGTTAAAAGAAATATCTCAAAACTGTAAGAAACATTGAGCTTTAGGCTAGAATTTTATGTTAATGATATCAGACTTATGATAGGGCTTCAAAAAGTTCATGAAAAAATAGATTTTAAAGATAATATAATTTTTTTTATTATTATTATTCCTATTCCTTCCTTCCTTCTGAGCTCTTTCCATGGGCAAATGCTGCCCTTTTATTCATGTAATGTTGATTGCTGTAAGGAGTGTTTATCTACCGCCATGGTGAGTTTTTCCCCACCTTATAGACTTATGTACTGTTTGGCTGAAAGTTCAGCCAAATTCCAAGCTGAAGGGGGACTAAGAAGCATAGTCTTTCACCAGTCTCTAACCAGTAAGCCTGGTGTGTTTTTTAAATTATTATTTTAATTGTTTTAAGTTTTGCTTCCCATGTTTCTCCCACTCTATCCAGTACCTCCTCTAAGTGTGACCCCTTTTCACAGTGGATGACAATGGTAGTTGGGCACCTTCCAGTTATTCTTGTCTCAGGGTTGGGGATGCTGAGGTTTGAGAGTTCCATTAGTCCTTTGGACTAATTGTTTCCATGCATCTTTGAGTTGCTTCACTATTCTTTGGACGGGGATAAGTAAATAGTTGTACCTTAGAAAAGATAATACAATTTTTCAGAAACATTTTAAAGCCCTCTCATATTTTAAGAATTAGATTTCTTATATTTCTGCTGATAACTCGTTCTCTTCTCATCTCTCTAATAGTCCCTTGAGCTTCAAGCTCCCTCTTTTTCCAGCTGGAGAAGTTTTCCATTTTTTCTTAACTCAAGTAGGTGATCACTATGTTGTTCACTATCATAATTCCTTATTCATTCCCTTTTCATAAATTATCATTATTTTATGTGTTTATATACTATTTTTCCTTACCAGGTTATATCTCCATGAGGGTAGTCATGTTGTCAGTCTTACTGTTATTTTTTTCAGTACGTAGCATAGTGTTGGAAGAACAATGAGGCTTTCTGCTCCCATGAAGATTTTCAGAAGCCTCAGAAACTCTATAGAGGGTTGTTGTGAGTCGGTATCGACTTGACAGCACTTAAAAACAATAAGAAGCATAGTGTTTGGCAAATAGTGAGTGTTTCAATAAATATTTGGGTACATGAATCCTTTTTTATGTCGTCTTGTTTGTGGGTTGTATTTGAGGATACTTTCACAGGGGTCATTTTCTTCTCCATTTTATAAGTGGCCAGTTTAACCAGAGACACCACAGATAACTCTTCAACATCCGTAGAGTCAATTTTTTGCCAGAAGTTTTGGAAATCATCTACCCTCATGACATTTTTTGAAAGAGAAAGCAATGACTTGTCCATCAGAGAATTGAAATAGAGCTTTGTACATATACAAGGAGGCTTCAAAAAGTTTGTGGAAAAATTTGACTAAAAAATAATGTAATTTTTCCACAAACTTTTTGAAGCCCCCTCATTTCTAAATCTATTTTGTTGTTGTTGTGTGCTGTTGAGTTGGTTCAGACTAATAATGAGCCTATATAGGGTTTCCAAGGAGTGGGTTTGAACAGCCGACTTTGCAGCTAGCTGTCCAGTGCTTACCCTACAGCACCACACTATTGTTGGTGTTGACTTGACAGTTCCAACGCAAGTGTATCGTGACCCTGTATAGGGTTTCCTAGGAGCAGCTGGTGAGCTTGCGGTTCAAACAACTCTGCAGTCCAGCGCATTAACCCACAGCGCCACACCAGGACTCCCCACTACAGTATGGTTCCTACTAAATAGACAGTAAGGGCGTGGGGGGATTCTTGAAAATTAGAAGTTTTTTTTCCTAAATTTGATTTGTGCCATTTCTCCACAGGGTAAGAAATTTGAGATTTTGCCAGATGGCTTGCCCTCAGCCCGGAAGCTCATCTACTACACGGGGTGCCCCATGCGCTCCAGACACCTCCTGCAACTGCTGAGCAACAGCCACCGCCTCTACATGAATCTGCAGCCTGTCCTGCGTCACATTCGGAAGTTGGAGGAAAACGAAGGTATGGCAGCGTTTCAGTGGGGCCTTTTCCACCTTATACCAGGACTTCTGGCTCCTGGAAAACGGGATTTGAGAACTGGGCCTTTCCAGACTCAGAGCTGCATTTCTATTTTCATCTCAGTGTTGCCCATAAAGGCAAAGGGCAAAGAATTGGTGTGAGGCCTACCTACTATAACGCCTACCCAAAGTATTTGAGGTTACCCCAATCATTTCACTACCATTGGGGCACAATCTCTTTAAAGTCTCTGCATACTCAACTTGAAAATCCATACAAATAGCCCCTACATGAAGGTGCCAAGTATATAATTTTATATGCATCTCAGAGCTCAGTATATACCCCAATCTACTTCTGTGCTGTTCTCCACAGTCAGTCTGCAGTTCCTTCCAGGATGATTATTCCTTAGGCCAGTATGGCCATCAAGTTGGGTAGCCACTAAGTCTGGCCCAGCAAGAATGACAGACAGAGGAGATTTTCATTTGAGGATAGAATCAGCCAGTCCTGTGGGGGCACTGCTGAGACAGAGAAAAATGCTGTGTGATTTGGGATCCCAGAGTCCTAGGCCCAGGAAAGGGTGGCAAGTCATGGCAGGGAGAGGAAGGCAGGGATCAGTGTCTCTAAGGTCAAACTTTTGCCAACATTACATTATTAGTCTAATGGTTGACCCCTTTTTCTTGAATGTAACATCCTGAAATTACTTGATCTAACACACTTCAAATTCCAGTCCCCAAAAATGCTATATGTAGTATATTTATTTTTTTTAAGTCTTCAATTTATTCTTCACATTCATTTTGTGGTCATTCTGATCATTAGACTTTTATGGTAATTAGATTAGATCTGAGATTTTTATGTGAACATCAAGATGCTTACTTAGATCCTTGTCTGAAACAAGTTTTGACATCTCAGATCTCACTTTTCCTGCAGAGACAAGACAAATACCAATCCTCTGTTGAACAAACAAAACACCTTATGGTGGTGCGTGTGCACCTGATTGAGTGCTCCTCAAAGCTGTCTCTCAATCTCAATGAGACCTCATTTGAAGAGCCCATCATAATTCAGATAGCAATAAGAACATGAATCCTTTTCCACTGTCTGCCGCCAGACTGCATCAGTGTTCGGAGAGAATTGGGTCTGCTGCTGCCAGACTGCCTGTCCTTCTCCACAGTGACGTATTAGTATAACAGGTATCTCTCTCAGTACTGACATGAATATTCAGGAGAATTCAGACAGATAGAAGCACCAAGAAAACTTGTGAGAATAGGTGACTAAGTTAGGTTCCGAGGTGCCAAATCAGCCTCAGTCCAGTACGGTGGGTTTGATGTCTTGAGAAGTTTCATTCATTCCATTAGCTCACTGTCAGCAGCATTTTAGTAAGTTTTCGGTTGGGTGACCTTAAAGAGATTAAGAAACCCCTCCTAGAGGTGGGTTCTAAGGTAAAAGTTTACAAAGAATTTTGCATTCTTAAGAGGACATAGCTTTGTCCGTTGCCACCCATAGTACCAAGTACATTTGGGAATTTAATTGAGTGGGGAAATGAAGGAATTCTAACAGTGTGAATTACATCTTTTTTATTTGGATGACTGTAGACTGATTTAGGGGATAAGCCCTCCCCCCGGCCCCCCCATCCAAAGGAAACATACTTAGTTTCTTCTATGTAGAGGTACTTCTAGACCAAAGAAAGTCTGAAACCAAGTTTCTCTGGGCCTATCTTGACCTTAATCCAGTTGTCTCATCCACACTTAAGGACTGTCGTTTTAAGGAGAAAAAGCTCTTTCTAGGATTAGTTTAACAACAACAAAAAGAAAACAGCGTAAGAAGAGTCAGTGTCTTAATTACATTTTATTTAGAGTCACCTCATTTACAAAGCCACTTTAACATTTTGTAGCAGAAAATGACCACCAGAATTCTTCCATAGAGTTTAGAAAATAAGGGGAAACATGCCTTACGTCATTTAAAAAAAATTGAAGCCCAACTTTATTCAATAGCTGGAAATTATTTTGAAGTCATAGATCAAGAGGCTACATTTACAGCATTATGCACATGTTCCAAAATACTGTTAAGAAAAAATGTATGGTCTCTGGACTTTTACAGTTAAGTGCCATTAAATGGGTTCCAACTCATAACAACTCTTTATAAGGTTTCTGAGGAGTGGCAGATGGGTTTGAACTGCTGACCTTACATTTAGCAATCCAGTGTGTGTCCTATAGCACCACACCAAGACTCTGACTCTCACATTAGAAGGAATTTCAAATAAACAGATATAGTGACGTTCTTCACTGTTGACTCCACTGTTACTAGGGGCATGAAAGGTTTCACGTTGCATTTCTTAGAATAAATTTCAGAGTTATTTAAACATTTTCCTCAGTTTGTAACGAGAGTGTGACGCTTCTTAAATATTTGCCACCTAAAAACCAAATCTCTTGTCATCGATTCCAGCCATAGAGATCATAAAAGACAAAGCAGAGCTGCCCCATAGGGTTTCCAAGGCTATAAATCTTAAAAAGCTTAAAATTGCCACATCTTTCTCTTGCTGAGTGACTGGTGGATTCAAACAGCTGAACTTGCTGTTAACAGCCAAATGCTTAATCACTGTGTCACCTGGGCTCCTTCAAATATTTGCAAAGGTTATGAATGACAATGTACTCAGGAGGGACCTAAAGCCAGCCAAGTGCTGGCCAATTCACAGGAAATGGGATTACAGTAGGCTCCTATTGTTATTGCTGTAAGTGCTGTCAAGTCAGTTCCGACCCATTGTGACCCTGAAAAGGGTTTCTCAAGCTGATGAGCTTGAACCACCACCGACCTTGTGTTTCATAGCGAGTTTGCAGTCCAGTGCATTAACCCACAGCACCACACCAGGACTCGTCGGCTCCTGTTAAGAGGTGGAAAACAGGCTGGTGAGACCTCTAGTGAGTCTGTTGTTAACATGCTACCCAGTCAGTTCCAGCTCATCGCAACCCTCTATAGAGTTTTCGAGAAGCAGCTGGTGGGTTTGAACCACCAACCTCTTGGTTAGCAGTCCAGTGATTATCCTGTAGTGCCACATTAGGACTGTGTATTGTTGTTGCTAAGTGCCATCGAGTCGGTTTCAACAGTAACTGTAACTGGCTCTGAACATACCAGTGAGTTAGGAATGAAAGGGCTGTTTGGAAATCCATAGAAAAGCTTTTAAATGATTAGATCCACAAATGCCAGTTGTCTTAGATCTCTACTACCATATAGAACTTAATTTTTTCTCCTCTTCAGTTTCTTTCCACTTTTCCAAGGGCCAAAATGGGTATTATTTTAAAACACTCATGAATTGAAATTTGATGGGAATTTTGAAGACCCCATTTGTACTCCACCTTCATCTTCACTCCTCATGCCTTCAGAAAATAAGAATGAGTAAACCCAGTCTGTTCCCTAAAAGAAGGGTTTGTGGCTGGATGCATTTTTGTTGCTTTGATGTGTGTGCTGGGCTCTGATGCCAGTCTGCTTCCTGCGCAGCTTCAGACTTGCCTCTGTGCTTCTTAGACCCCTTAGAACTGGCATGAATGCGCTGGAGGCTGGAAATGAAACATAGCCTTCTCCAGGCTGTTTTTTATTTTGACATTTGCATCCTAGAAAGCACAGCTTTCTCTAGTGCTCTTTCTGCTCTTCCCTCTCTGGAGAACTTGTAGTAATTACACTTCAGATTTGCATTCAGACATTAGATGTAAGAGTATTTTCATTTACCCAAGAAACAAGACAATTAAGTCTATTAACAGGCTCCTAAGAACCCAATTAGTCTACTGGTTAGCAGTTTCTGAAATAAAATCCACATAATATTCCCCAAATGTGCCCTTCACATTTAACTTTGTTCTAATGTGTTATTTCTCCTCAGTATTAAAAAATTAAAGAAGCGGAACTGTTTCTTTGTTTTAAATTTCTGATGTGAAAAATTGAAACAGCATTTCTATGTCAGTTGTACAACTGCAGTCCAACTATAACTCGACCCTTAATGTTCTGCTTAGTTTACTGTTCGATAAGAGGGGCTTTCCCAGTATTATGCCTTTGCATACAAGAACAGCACGGATGTATTTAATCAAAGGACAATTTTACCAATCAGAAACCATGTGGTTATAAAACCTCAGACAAGCAGTGATAATTATGTTTTCTAAATAGATGTTTAAGTCGCATTAATTTAACTCATGGAGGAAAAGCTTTCATCATTAATGAAATTTAAAATATTAGAATTCTTTGTAGGAAATTATCAGGACACTTTTATCATGAATAGCATTCAACAGCTAGTGTTAAACTAGCTAATAATGGGCATGGTCCACTGTTAATAAATAAAATGAATGGTAATTAACATTATTATACTCACTAAATAGTCTCTAACAGTGCTTTTGAAATGATGTGTGAAAGAGGACAACTTGTTGTTTTGTCTTTTTTTTTATTAATTTGTCACGGGCCAAATACTTTTGCAAATGACAAAATTATATATGTGACTGTCATGGCAATGCCAAATTACTCTAAAAGTATCTAGACATTTTTTCTCAAACCCACTGCTTTCAAGTCCGTTCCAACTCCTAGTGACACTACAAAACAGAACCGTCACTTAAGGGTTCCAAGGCCGTCAGCTGAAACAGACTACCAATGTCTTTCTTTCAAAGAGGAGCTGGTGGGCACAAACCAACTGCCCTTGCCATTAGTAGCCAAACCTTAACTTCTGTGCCACCAGGTTTCCTTCACTCTCAATCACTGAACTTACTTCCCTTCGGACTACTAGTAACAGTTTACACACAAGTAGTAGCCGGTTGACTATACTTTAAGTTGTTGTTAGGTGCCACCCAGTCAGTCCCAACTCATAGCGTTCTATGCACAGCAGAGCGAAACAATGCCCAGTCCTGCACCAGCCTCACAGTTGTTGATACACTTCAGTCCATTGCTGCCACCAGTGTGTCAGTCCATCTCCTTGAGGGTCTTCCTCTTTTACACTGACCCTCCACTTTACTAAGCACGATATCCTTCTCCAAGGACTAGTCTATCCTGATAATATGTCTAAAGGATGAGAGACAAAGTTTTGCCATTCTAGCTTCTAATAAGCATTCTGGCTGTATTTCTGCCAACATAGATTTGTCTTCTGGCAGTCCATGGTACTTAATCTTTTCCAGCACCATAAATTGAATGCATCAGTTCTTCTGTAGTCTTCCTTATTCATTGTCCAACTTTCACATGCATATGGATCAGGTGCACCTTAGTCCTCAAGCATCTTTGATGTTTGCTCTTGAACGCTTTAAAGAGGCCTTATGCCACAGATTTGCCTAATGCAATATACTGTTTGATTTCTTGACTGCTGCTTCCATGAGCACTGATTGTGGATCCAGGCACAAGGAAATCTGACAATTTCTATCTTTTCTCCTTTTATCATAATGTTATTTATTGATGCAGTTGTGAGAATTTTTGTTTTCTTTGCATTAATGTGCAAACCATACTGAAGGATGTTGTCTTTGATCTTCATCAGTAAGTATTTTAAGCCCTCTTTACTTCCAACAAGCAAGGTTGCGTCACCTGAATATCACATGTTGTTAATGAGTCTTCCTCCAATCCTGATGCCACATTCTTCATATAATCCAACTTCTCAGAGTATTTGCTCAGCATACATATTGAATAAATACGGTGAAAAACACAAGCCTGGAGCACACCTTTTCTGATTTTAAGCCATATAGTCTCCCCTTCTGTTCTAACAACGGCTTTTTAGTCTGTGTGCAGATTCCTTATGAGCATAATAAAATGTTCTGAAATACCCATTCTTCACAGTGGTATCCATAGCTTGTCATGATCCACACAGATAATAGTCAGTAAAACACAAGTAAGCATCTTTCTGGTCTTCTCTGCTTTCAGCCAAGATCCACCGGACATCAGCAATGATATCCCTCATTCCATGCCCTCTCATGAATCTAGCTTGAATGCCTGGTGCTTCCCTGTTGATGTAGTATTGCCACCATGTTAAAATTACCTTCCCCAAAATTTTACTTTGAGTAGTGGTGTTCTTTAGTGTTTGAAGCTTCTCAAGTCTTCTAGTCATTGAAAGATTACCCTCAACTCGGTTGTACTGCTCTTTATTCACTTTGCAATCGTAAGTGTAGTTCCTATCCAAGTTATCACTGCTTTCCAAATACTAGAATCTGACTGTGAAATTGTAGTTGTTGTTTGTTGTTGTTGCTAAGTGCCAAGTTGGTTCTGACTCAGCAACCCCGTAGCTCACCAGATGTCCCTCTATGTTGGTTGACCCTGACGAGCTGTGTTCTTCAATACACAGAGAAGAAGCAGTACCGGGAATCCTACATCAGTGACAACCTGGACCTTGACATGGACCAGCTTGAAAAGCGGTCGCGGGCCAGTGGGAGCAGCGCAGGCAGCATGAAACACAAGCGCCTGTCTCGTCATTCCACCGCCAGCCACAGCAGTTCCCACACTTCTGGCATTGAGGCAGACACCAAGCCCCGAGACACGGGGCCAGAGGACAGCTGCTCAGGAAGTGCCATTCACCGGAAGCTGAAAACCTGCAGCTCCATGACCAGCCATGGCAGCTCTCACACCTCAGGAGTGGAGAGTGGTGGGAAGGATCGGATGGAGGAGGACTCACAGGACGATGGTAAGCTCCCCCTGAGTCCCTCCTGACTAACAGCACTGTCCTGTCACTAGCTGTCTGCTTTGTTGCATCCATTGTTTTCTAATGTTAGTTCTTTAGAATTGGTCTCTGGGGAATAGCAACTAAGAAGCAATATTAGAGAAGAGGAGACAGGTGTCTTGCCATCTTCCCCAATAACTTGACTGAGTTGATTGTGTTATGAACAAAGCATCCCTCTAGCTATGAAATATATATATAGCACCAGGCTGCTAGTAACAACTTACTCTACTGTGGAATGGAGCAGAACACCTCATCTTTCTCCCGCGGAGCAGCTGGTAGTTTCGAACTGCTGACCTTGAGGTTCACAGCCCGATTCGTAACCACTACGCTACCAGAGCTCCTTAAAATGAAATTTAGCCAGCTTAAATCAGCCACACTTAACAGCAGTACGTCTCTTTTATATTATTCTTCAGCCTCAAACAAGGGCTTCAGCATTTGGATTTTGGGGAAAGATGTTGAGTCCACTAAGGAAAATTGCAGAACAGATAATTCAGTTACTATAGACTGCATTTAGATCTCAAATTAGGTCGCTAAATGTAGCAAGAGAGGCAACTATGGGAAACAGGTAGGTTATCAAGTAGTCTGTGTATGCCAACCATTTGTGCTTTAGCATTAAGTAAATGATCCCTCAGTCTGAACTTTCTTTTTGTGATAGCAGCGTGGTAGAATAGCATTACCCCTTTCTAAAGGAGTAAGGGATAACCAAATCATGGGCTTTAGAAGACAAGTGGGTAGTAACACAGAAATCTTATGGAAAAAAAGAACAAGAATCATTCAGGTGAGAATTGTCCTCAGAATTTCCTTTTGAAGAGTCTCATTAGCAAGTTTATTTTCAAATAGGAATAATTTCATGGCCTTTCTCAAAGTATTGTTGTTGTTGTTATGTGCCGTCGAGTTGGTTCCGACTCATAGCAACCCTGCACAGGGTTTCTGAGGCTGTAAATCTTTACAGGAGCAGAAAGCCTCATCTTTCTCCCGCGGAACAGCTGGTAGTTTCAAACTGCTGATTGTGAGATTAGCAGCCCGATTCATAACACTATGCTACCAGAGCTCCTTTTCTCAAAGTATAGGTTTGGGCTATGATGGACTGTTGCATTCAAGTCACTGAGTGTCTTTTCCTTCATCTGTGTCAGAAATCGAGATGTTAGTTGATGACCCCAGAGACCTGGAGCAGATGACTGAAGAGTCCCTGGAAGTCAGCCCAGACATGTGCATCTATATCACCGAGGACATGCTCATGGCTCGGAAGCTGAACGGACACTCTGGTGAGCTCTGATGGGAAGTACTTCTTTGTAGTAGAGCTTTCTGAACTGAGAAGCCTGTGCCCAGAAAAGAGAAGGAGTGGAGGGAGTGTAGGGGGTGTTGGGGGTACTCTAGACCAGAGACAGAACTAGAAGAAAAGCCTTTCCGTGTTGGTGTAGCAACCACGGGGTCCACTGCCTTCTGTGGAAGAAAGGGAAGGCAGAGACACACACAGGATTGGGAATTAGCATCTTCCCTCTGTGCTTTGGACAAAAGGTAGTTGTATAATAGAGTATTCCTTTTTTTTTTTTTTGCTGTTTTAAATCCAATCATCAGAGAATCGCATCATGCACGTGGAAGGGGTTGAGTGACCCTTCAGCCCAGTCATCTTATTTTTACTTGTAAGAAAACCTGCAGATTAAAAAGGATAAATACTACATGGGTAGAAACACAAGTCAGTTCCCCCAGGTTTGTTGGGTGTATTGTACTGTAGTGTATATAAGACTGTGAAGAACAAAGGGTCAAACAAAGTAGATATAGAAAGATGTTCTTAAATTCCATATTTGACTAATTCTACTCCCCCCAAATTCTTCAGGCTGTCATTTTGATAGAAACAATTATCTGTCATTGTTGCCTTGTTAGACACACAGCTCTTCGATGCTTAGTGAACTTCTCCTGTGCCTAGGCACTGGGAATCAGAGATGAACAAGAGCAGCACAGTGTTCATCGTTTTGAAACTTTCTCTGCAAAAGTGTGAGGCACTTTTTTTTTTTTTTTAATTACAGAATTCCAATTGCTAACTTAGCAGAATCATGACCACCAGACGCTGTACCAGAAATAGTTTTACTGATGGTTATAAGGAAGTACTCTATCTAACTAACAAAACCACCACTCTTTAGTTAGTTTGTCATACTGTGGTGATTTTGTGCTGTAAGAAAGCTTTGCCAATGGTATTTTAAATTCCAGAAGAGTCATCCATGAGGACAGGTTTCAGCGCTTCTATAAATAAGACTGGCTAGGAAGGAGAGGTGAATCATTTCTGAAGGGTTAGCCACTGAAAACCTTATGAATAGAAGCAGAATATTGTCTGATGCAATGCCAGAAGATGAGTCCCTCAAATTGGAAGACACTGAAAATACAATTGGGAAAGAGCTGAGTCCTTAAAGTCAAGTTGACCATAGTGACATAGATGGAGTAAAGCTTGTAATACCTTCATTTGCTGATGAAGCACCACTCCAAATGAGAAGAAACAGCTGCAAACATCCATTAGCAATTGGAATTTGAAATGTACGAAGTATGAATCTAAGAAAATTGGAAGTCATCAACCATAAAATTGAATGCATAGAGATCAATATCCTAGACATTAGTGAGCCAAAATAGACTGGTGTTAGCCATTTTGAATGAGACAGCCATGTGATTTACTCTGCTGGGAATGACAGACTGAAGAGGACTAGTGTGACACTCATCATCACAAAGAGCATTTCACAATTTATCTTGCTAATAGACAGAGCTGGCTGTGATAGGGTAGTATCCATACTCCTACAAGGAAGCCCACTGAATACCACTGTAATTCACATTTACATACCAGCCACTACAGCCAGTGGGGATGAAATTGAAAACCCAACCAGCTTCTTATGTATGAAATTGATCAAATATCCATTCAAGATTCATTGATAATTATTAGTTATTAGAATGCAAAAGTTGGAAACAAAACAGGAAGGATTCATAGTTGGGAAAATTGGCCTTGATAAAAACAATGTTGGAGGTCATATGACAGAATTTTGCAAGACCTATGGTTTATTCATTGCAAATACTTTTCTCAGTAGCGTAGTGGTTACGAGTTAGGCTGCTAATCTCATGGTCAGTAGTTCGAAACTGCAAACAGTTCTGTGGGAGAAAGATGAGGCTTTCTGCTCCAGTAAAGATTTAAAGCCTCGGAAGCCCTACAGAGGGTTGCTATGAGTTGGAACCAACTCCACGGCATATAACCACCACCATACATGTGGACCTCACCAGATGTAATACTCAGGAATCCAGTTGACTATAGCTGTGGGAAGAGACAATGGAGAAATTCATTATTATCAGTTAAAATAAGACCAGGAGCAGACTGTGTAACCAACCATCAAGTGCTCACATGTAAGTTTAGACTAACGTTCAGGAAAATTACAGTAAGTCCACAAGAGCCAAAATACAACCTTGCGTATAGCCCACCTGAATGTAGAGATCATTTTAAGAACAGATTTGATTCATTAAACAGTAATATCCAAAGACCAGAGGAATTGTGAGATGACATAAAAAACATCATACAGGAAAAAAGCAAAAGATCATGAAGAAGGCAAGAAAGAAAGAAAAGGCCAAAATGAATGTCAGAACAGACTCTGAAACTTGCTCTTACACAGAGAAGCTAAATTGACTGGAAGAAATGATGAAGTAAAAGAGCTAAACAGAAAATTTCAAAGGACAGCTCAAGAAGACAAAGTCAAGTATTGTAATGAAATGTACAAAGATCTGGAGTAGAAAACCAAAAGGGAAGAGCACACTAAGCATTTCTCAAGCTGGAAGAACTGAAGAAAGAAAATTAAGTCTCAACTTGTGGTATTGAAGGATTCTATGAGCAAAAAGGAAATTGACTGTGTAGATTATAGCAAACTATTACTAAAAAATAATGATAGATGCAGAAAGTATAAAAAGAGATGAAAAGAATGCAGAGTCACTGTACCAAAAAGAATTGGTCTATGTTCATCCGTTTCAAGAGGAAGCATATGATCACGAACCAATGGTATTGACGGAAAAATCGAAACAGCACTGTGAAGGCACTGGTGAAAAACAAGGCTTTAGGACTTGTTGGAATACAAATAGAAATGTTTCAACAAATTGTTAACAGTGCTGGAGGCCCTCACTCATCTATACCAAGAACTTTGGAAGATAGTTACCTAGCCAGCCTATTAGAAGAGATCCATGCTTGGACCCATTCCAAAGAGAGGTAACCCAACAGAATATTGAAAATCACTGAACAATATTAATAATAACACATACAGGTAAAATTTTTCTGATGATAATTCAATCGCACTGTTGCAACATTACTTCGACAGGGAACTGTCAGAAATTCAAGCTAGATTCATAAGAGGTTGTGGAACTAAGGGACATCATTGCTGACATCTGCTTCACTGAAAGCAGAGAGTACCAGAAAGAAGTTAGCTTATGCTTTATTGACTATGCAAAGGCATTCAACTGTGTGGATCATAACAGACTCTAGATAACATTGCAAAGAATGTGAATTCCAAAACAGTTGTGCTCATGAGGAACCTGTACATAGACCAACAGATAGTCTTTCTAACCAGTCAGTGCCCCCTTGTTCTGTTCAGGAAAGATGTGTACCAGGCTGATATCTTTTCACCATACTTACTCAGTCAGAACAAATAATCTGAGCAGCTAGATTATATGAAGAAGAACATGGCATCAGCTCTGGAGGAAAAGTCATGTAGATGACACAATCTTGTTTACTAAAAGTAAAGACGACTTGAAATACAGACTGAAGAAGGTCAAAAACTATAGCACTGCAATGTAAAGAACATGATAATCTTTACAACTAGACCAATAAATAAGATGTTAAACAGAGAAAATATTTAAGTTATCAAAGACATCATATTGCTTGGATCCACAATCTATTCTCATGGAAAGAGCTGTCAAGAACTCATATGACATATTGCATTAAATGTATATGCTGAAAAAGATGTCTTTAAAGTATTCCAAGAGCATAGATACCACTCTAAGGAGTAAGGTGTGCGTGATCCAAGCCATGATATTTTCACTTCCCTCTTATGGATGTGAAAATAAAAAAGACCATAAAAGAATCAATGCATTTGAATTGTGTTGGCAAAGAATATTGAAAGTACCTTGAACTACCAGAAGAACAAGCAACTGTATTGGAAGAAGTACAACCAAGAATGCTCCTTAGAAGCGAGGTTGGCGAGACTTCTCTCCTACTTTAATGTGTTGTTAGGAGGGACCAGTCCCTGGAGAAGGATGTCATGGTTGGTAAAATAGAGGATCAGTGAAACAGAGGGAGACCCCAACAAGATGGATTGACACAGTGGAAACAACAATGGCCTCAGATGTAACAACCATTGTGAGGATGGCGTATTTCGTTCTGTTGTACCTGGGGGTCGCTATGAGTTGGCACCAACTTGATGGCAGCTAACACAGACCATAAGGCAGTCTCCTGTAGATACACTCAGAGCTCTTTACCAAGCTTCACCATTTTTTCCTAATTCGCTTTATGTTGGTGGTTTTTCTCCTTACAAATATGTTTTTATATATGCTACAGTTTCACAATTCTATGTGCAATATATGTGGATGGATGTCTCAAAGTACATATATATGTCTTTGATCTGAAAGAAAACTATTTAAAAATACACATCAAAGTACCTGTGGGAAGTGTTTCATGAAGGATGCAGACTTACATTTTATTTATTTTTTTGTTGAATATTTTATCATGAGAGTTATTAACTTTATGATTTTAAACGAAAATAAAATTAGAGAGGATAACCATTTAAAAAAGACTTATATACCACCCCCATAAAAGATTTATTGAAGTATTATTTGTAGCCAAAAAAGAAAAGAAAACCTAAATGTTTACAGTTTAGTTAAATTATACTTTATTCACGCAGTGAAATATTATGCAGCAATTAACTTTAATATTTTCAAAGAATATTTGAAAACTTAAAGGCAATATGAGGAAAATAGTGTAAGTTGTATAAACAGTGTGATCTCAATTTACAAAATAAAGCTTCTTACGTATTTGAAAAAATACATAAAAATATTAATAGCCTTATCTCTGGGTGATGTACTTATAGATGTTTTCTTCCTTTTTTTCTTCCTTTCATCTTCCTGGTTTTTCCAAATTCTGTATAATTTTTGTGGAGTTAAATGTTGTTTTTAAGGCAAAAACTTGAGTTGTGATAAAGTATACCACTATAGCCTTCATTAATGTAAATGAATGAAGTAGGTATGGGCTCAGTGTTGTGAGTGGAAGAATTGATACTGACTTTACCAGTGCCCTAGTCTACGTTTCTATGAGGGCACATTCAAAGCATTAACATTTTTTTTTAGAAGAGAAGGACTTTTCTTGAGAGAGGCTTTCTACTAAAACAGTTTGTGCCATCTCCCAAACCATGAGCATCACTGAGTTGTTTTTTTGTATTTTTTTTAGCACGTAACAACAACAATATATAAGGAAAATAATTCAAATATATACATCTAAAACTATGTATGACTACAAATGTGCTTTTTTTTTTTTAATGTTTTATTGTGAATTATATGATAGTTTACATGAGAGAACTTTAGTTTTACATTCATTCCATCGTATATCATTTCATTGCCATGGTTCCAATCCCCTCCATGCATCATCAACCTACCAAAGGGTATACCCTACAAACCCGCCCCCTACATTCCCCCCTCCCCCCTTAGTCTTCAGCCCACAGTCCTTCTCCCTCTCTGGATCCAAAGTCTTCATCACTCCACATCACCGTCTCTGTCTCTTATCTCAGGCATCTCTGCTTCTCTGGGTAGGGTCCCACTCTGGGCTCTTCTCCGTTGATGGTCCTAGAGACCTCCGCTCCTAGACTGGAGAATTAATCACTCCCTTCCTTGCTACAAAACATCTACCTTTGCATTTCCAACCCTCATAATCAGTCCTGATAACAATTATTCACTACAGTATCACAAGTGACCCATCTGTATTACATATCATCAGCTCCGCCTAGACAGATTGCATAGTACTCACTGGAGATTCTGCCTTCCTCCATGCCCCCTAGCTCTAGGTTCCCTCTTGAAAGCTTGTAAGCCAATCACTTCTTGCCTTTGTAGTTGCCCCCACCAACCCCCCCGTCCAATTTGAGTATCCAGTGTCCAAGTTTCCTATCTCTGTCTACTCTGTGTGTGGAGGGGGTGAGAATGTTTCTTGCTGTAAGGATTTGTTCCTTCTTTTGAGTCACTGCATCCGTAGGTGTAGGTCAAGTTCACCAAATTGTATCAGATCACTGTTTTTTTTCCTCTTCTTTCTTCTCCTGGTTGAGCTCTGATCATCCAGTCATCCGGTCCAGGTCACATGGGTACCATCTGCAAATGTGGGCGTTCTTATGCACATGCTCTCTTCCCATCACCCGGTAGCTCCACTCTCCACTCGAGTCCTCCGTGGCCACACCACTGACTCTGGGCCCAAGAGTCCCAGGTCTCCTCACACTGCTGGCCAACCAGGTCCCCAACTGGGTCCACAGCATCACTGAGTTTTTATAGAGCAGTTTTGCCTATGTGAAAACCAAGAATGTCTTCGTATTTCATGTTTCAGTTTATCTGGTTTTTAAAATGCTCGGTCTATGCAAAATGTGCTAGACACTGTATCATTCTGAAATGTTTCTAGAGTTAAAAGGGATAAAGCATTAGTAGCAGGCCAAATAAAAATCTCAGTAATCAAGGTTCTTTTTTCTAAGATAAGAATATACTGTCTTAAGAAGATGTTTGGCCTTTATGACCCACTTATTTGCTTCATCTATTTGCAATAAAAATTTGTTTCAGTTTACATCTCCAGTTGTTGTAGTTTTGCATTCTGAAATATTTTTTTCTGGGTAGATCACTCACATGCCACATTCATATAGAGGTGTCAGCCCTAGATAATCGGTTTCCAAAAGGATCAGCAGGCACCCCCAAGCACTGAGGTGATTTGACTGAGGGCTCTTTCCGTCTCAGAAGTCTAGAACTGAATGTTTGCTGCAGCCTCCTATTTGAAGCCTTACCAGTGTGATCTTTCGCAGGTGGCTGTGTTATAGACTCCATCAGAAAAGCCTCCACTGACTGAGTGTGTCTCACATGCAGTTGTTTTTCAAAATGCTTTCAGTCTTTTGTCATTTCATTGTATTTTTTAATTACCAAACTCTGTTGGATATGGAGCTGTTACTAACCCCATTTTATAGAGGAGACTACAATCAAGGGGAGCTTAAGTATTCAGCCAGGACACACAGCTAATTGTTTGGGTCAAGTTCTAAATTTGTCCGTTTGCAGATACCAGCACATGTCCAAGTGGAACCAAATCTAGAAGGCCAAGTTACTGCACAGGAGGAGTTAAATTCAAAATTAGTGCTATGTATACAATGGTGAGGGAGGAAGCTTTATGAGGGACAGTACAAAGATTGCTATACACCTCCTTCTCTTGAGCTGCGTTTTGAAATTTTTCATTCAGCTCTTTTACTTATTTCTTCCATTTGCTTTAGCATCTCTACACTGGAAGGCAAATTCGAGTCTCTTCTGACGTCCATTTTGGTCTTTTCTTTTTTCTTGCCTTCTTAGTGATCTTTTGCTTTCTTCCTGTATGATGTTCTTGATGTCATCCCACAACTCTTCTGGTCTTCAGTCATTAGTGTCTAATGCATCAAATCCGTAATGCATCAGATCTTCATCAAATACTTACTGATGAAGATCAAAGACCATAGCCTTCAGTATGGATTGCACTTCAATGTAAAGGAAACAAAAATCCTTACCACTAGACCAGTAAATAACATGATAAATGGAGAAAAGACCAAAGTTGTCAAAGAATTCATTTTGCTTGGATCCACTTTCAACACTCATGGAAGCAGTACAGTAGTCAAGAAATCAGAGGATGTATTGTATTAGGCAAATCTGCTGCACAAGAATTCATTAACATGTTCAAGAGTTTGAGGACTAAGGTGCACCTGATCTAAACCATGGTATTTTCAGTAGCCTTCTGTGCAAGTGAAAGTTGGATGATGAATAAGGAAGACCCTAGAAGAACTGATGTATTTGTGTTATGGTATTGGAGGAAGATATTAAAAGTAGTCTAGACTGCTAGAAGAAGAAATAAACATGTGTTGGAAGAAAGATAGCCAGAATGCTCTTTAGGAACTCATACTTTGGACATGTTATCAGGAGGGACCAGTCACTGAAGAAGGATATTGTGGTTGATAAAGTAGATGATCAGCGAAAAAGAGGAAGACCCCCAATGAGATAGATTGGCACAATGGCAGCAGCAGTAGGCTCAAACATACCAATGATTGTGAGGCTAGCACAAGACCAGGCAGTGTTTCATTCTGTTGTGCATAAGGTCACTATGAGTCAGAGCCAACTCAATGGCACCTAACAACAACATAAAGTCTTTGTTTTCATCACTAATTTCTTCATCAATAGTTTAATTAGAAGCTTATCTGGAAAAATTCAGACTCTAAACTCTGCCCTTTATTTTGTCGTTGTTGTTAAGTGCTGTTTGAGTCCATTCTGACTCATAGTGACCCTGTATACTGTTTCCACGGAGCAGCTTGTGGGCTTGAACTGCAGATCTGTGGATCCTACAGCACCACAGCAGGAGTCATTTATTTTAACCTCATATGTATCCCAGCTCCGCTTACTCACTGTAACAGACAGAGAATGTGTTCTGTCTTACCACGAATCACAGCGAGATTGGTCACTCGGTATTTGGTTAATCTCTGGCCGTTCATTCTGGTAGTAACAAATGTTAAAAATGTTGGCGTGTGAAGCAAGAGGTGTGAATAATATGAAGTCTTCATTGTTTTTTGTGTTTTGTTTTGTTTTTACATCAGGATTGGTTGTAAAAGAAATTGGGTCTTCTACGTCCAGCTCCTCAGAAACAGTGGTCAAGCTTCGTGGACAGAGTACAGATTCTCTTCCACAGGTATTGAAAGAACTGAAAATGTTCATTAGAAACGGGAGGGGGCCGGGGTAGGGTTATGGTGTGTGTCAGCGTGAAAATCAAAAACCCTGAGGAAACAATGCTTCCCAGATAGAAACACTCTAGTTTTCATTTTTACTTTATTTGAATATTTTACTTATTTTATTTTGTAGTTCAGATTATTTTTTTGATTTTCATAAATTGCGTACTTTGCTTTTAAAGGTGAAAGGCCTGTCGGTCTTGGGGCTTCAGGTTGTCTGTGCTTCGTTGCTTGCCCCCAGCAATGTGGGAGTGTAATTGTTTTGTCTCAGGTACTGTGAAAGAAAGATTTCTACACTCAGGTTATCCCATTTAGATTGAGTTTTCAAAGGATACTAAACTGGAGTATTTGATAACCTGTGATCCCTGGTTCAACTATCAAAACGTCAAAAGGCACTAGAGAAAATATTCTGAGACGCATGGCTTCAGCATTTAAATATAATTCACACCTGATATTCACCTCAATTTTCAAAATAACTTTCTCCATCCTCAGCTGCCTTTTTTCTTTGGCTCTGTGGGAAACCTAAATGCTTAGAGAAACACAAAAATTTGTGTAACAGAATAGATTCATTGTGTGCAAATAAATGCCAGTCAGAACTTGGAGTTCCTGCAAGTAGATACATTCTCTAATAAAAGAGCACAATGCCCTAGGCTAAACGGTCTCTGCTAAACTGCTGTTGTTGGACTTGAAGGCAATTGAGAGGAAAATAGTTTCTTAAGGGCACAAGCTTCAAAAGAACACCTGGGACAGATGACCTGGGTGGGTTACCCCAATGCCATGAACCCAAAAATTTGTACTCCAGGGCAATCAAAATAGTTCTGTCAGCTCTCTCTGTGCCTCCCCCACCCCACCCCACCCCATTTATGTTTTTCTCTTTTACTGCTTTTCGCTTGCGTTCTGCCCTTGTCTTTGTCTCCCATGCTTTCCCCCTATCTTCCTTATCTATTTTCTTATTTGTTCCTAATTTCTCTTCCATTAAATAAGCAGCCATAATGTGAACCGAAGGTTTTATTTAGTTAGTTTTTTTCATTAAACATTTTTCTGAAAACTCCAACAAATAATGTTTAAAGTAATAGGTGTTACTTTCAGTTACTTGATGTTACTTGAGTCTATCTACCAGGGTTTGCGTGCCTGCTCTGCCACTCAGTGTTGTGCATGTGTGTTAATGGGTTCAATGAGACACCAGATGCACACCTACAAAGTGGGGAGAATACTTGCGTGTCTGCCTCATGGATGAATGGTGATGACCAAATGAATTCTCTGTGTAAAATCCTGTGAGTCCTGGGAAGACTCCCCCCGCCCCACAGGGGGTTCCTCGAGTGCTCAGATGATACACTTCACTGAAAAGACTTCTAGTAAAATGTTTGATGTCAAGATTGCCATTTGGCCCAGCCCCTGTGCTCTTCTCCTGGCACTTTTGCCACTAGCAGCAGTGATATTATTAGGAGAAGGATGTCCTTCAATGGAATATAATGCTTAAAAAAAAAAAAAATCCAGCCAGCACCACACCTTAGGATAACGAGCTCTATCTTCGGCTAATGAACTCTAAACACCTGTTACCTGCTGCTAAGGCCGGTGGTAGAACAGTACCAGGTGCAGAGGATTCCCGCAATTCCAGTGCTTGCTTCTCAATCTTCTCAACACTAGGAACATTTTAGGTTCTTTTTTCTATTGAAGAATTCTGTTTTTTGTTTGCTGTTGTTTTTTAAATAGTTCTTCAACATACTGTTTCTTCAGAAATTCCTTTTATTTCTCCATTTCTTAATAAAATACAATTTAATAACAGGCTTCAGTGTTAAGAGTGTTGCCACACTGAATTGTCATATCCTACTGAAAATGAGTCCTGGTGTGGCCCTGTGGGTTAATGTGCCAGACTGCAAAGCTATTTGAACTGCAAGGTCAGTGGTTCAAGCCCACCAGCTGCTCCTTGGAAACCCTATACAGGGTTGCTATGGGTCGGGATCGACTCAATGGCATTTAACAACAACTGGAAAACAAACTGAATCCTGTTGTAAAGTGTGGTACTGTGAGATAAACACTGGACTGCTAACTGGATGGTCAGTGGTTCAAACCCACCTGCTGCTCCTCAGAAACCCTTCTCAGGATCATTATGATCTGAACTGACTTGGCAGCACTTAACAGGAACAGCAATAAAGAAACAAAGTAGTTTAACCTTTAAGTATTTTGCTTGATTTTTTAAGATTCTAGATCTAGTGGGATTCCTGCTACATTTACTAACCTGTGCTTTTGAGTTATTTATCTGTAAAATGGGGATAATAGTAGCACCAGCCTTAAAAACTGTTAGGAGTCCTGGTGTGGCACTGTAGGATAAGCACTGGACTGCAAGGTGCAAGGTCGGAAGTTCAAACTCACCAGTCACTTCTCAGATACCCCATACAGGGTCACCATGAGTCAGAACCAACTCCACAACATTTAACAACAAATCATCTGTTAAGAAGATTAAATAAACATTTATATATATTTATATGGAACATTTCATATATGTATGGAACATTTTGATCAGAAACTAGTACATGTTAAGTGCCCAATAAATGTTAAGTGCTATCAGTTTTGACACATAGTGGCCCTGTATAGGGTTTCTAAGGAGCGGCTTGTGAATTTAAACTGCCAACCTTGTATTTGGTAGTCCATTGCTTATCCTATAGAGCACCACACTAGGGCTCCTTTCTGTATACAAGGATTCTTCAACGTTTTATGTCTTTGCAGCCTGCCTCATTTGCAGCAAATGTTACTAACTTTTTCACCATTAGGCTATATTCTTAAAGGAATCTTGGTGTGCCACTATGGGTTAATGCTCTGGACTGCAAGGTTGCTTTGAACCATAACGTCAGCGGTTCAACCTCACCAGCTGCTCCTGGGAAACCCAATGCAGGGTCACTACAGGTCAGACTCTACAGCACTTAACAACAGCAACAATAATATGCTCTTAAAGTTGTTTCAACCTTCCCTTTTTTTGCAGACAATATGTCGAAAACCAAAGACTTCCACCGATCGACACAGCTTGAGCCTCGATGACATCAGACTTTATCAAAAAGACTTCTTGCGCATCGCGGGCCTGTGTCAGGACACTGCTCAGAGCTACACTTTTGGATGCAGCCATGAACTGGATGAGGAAGGCCTCTACTGCAACAGCTGCTTGGCTCAACAGTGCATCAACATCCAAGACACTTTTCCAGTCAAAAGAACCAGCAAATACTTCTCTCTGGATCTCACTCATGATGAAGTTCCAGAGTTCGTTGTATAAAGTCCGTCCTCCTTCAGCCCTTACAGTAGGCCGCCTGCTGTTTGCTAGAGGCTATGTAAGCCATGGATTCTTTTAACTGCTACTCATGCCATATTTTCTTCACCCCAAACATAGCTCACTCTTTATATTTGTGATGAAAATAAAAGCTTTGGGACAATTGCACTTTAAGTATTACACAAAGGTAAAACAACTACAGAGAGTGTGCAAAACACAAATGCTCTCCTGTTTACCAAACCTTCAGAATTTTGGACGGTGGTGTGTATTTGTTCATTTGTTGTCTTTTTCAGATTAGCTACCCTTAACATCACATTGTTTATCATGTGAAAGGTGTTTTAGACTTATTTGTTTGCTTGTAAGTTTTTTACCACTCCCTCGTGAAATGCTTATGGTTTGAGGGAAAAGAGAGGAAGGGTCGCTCTTCTTGGAACAGAGAGAACATTGCCTAGTTATATAGCCATTGTTGCCTCACTGGGACGAATCCAAAGTGAACACTAATGAAGTGGTCAAAACCATGTGGTTCTAGGAAGCCAAAGATATGTACATACCAGAAGCTCCAGTCCAGAATCAAGAAGACGTGAGTTCAGCAATAATCAGAAGACTATGCATGCTGTGATGCCTTGTGACTCCTTCACGCCTGCTTGGTACCATATACTCCACTTTGCTCTGCCAGAAAGCTCTAGGACTCAGCTGAGTTCTTCATCCAACTAACAGACCGGCTGTATGCACATCAATAGTGTATGTTGTAGAGTTTTTCAAACTGATTTATGTTAATACTGTGGAGATGTATTAGAACATGTTTCTGCTTAGCAGTGATTTCTTTTTTTGTTTTTTTCATTAGTAACAAATTATGATGCTGGTTTCTGCTCAACCAAAGTATCCTAGCCATAAGCATATGTTATGTGTGTATGTGTGTGTATATGTATGTATATATACATATATATGTATGTAGATGCATATATATATGTATATAAATACATAGATTATGCGTGTTTATATGTATATGGAGCTTACTCACTCTCTTCATTTTGGCTTCTATGAGTATCTTGTATAAATGGTCTCCTCTGTGTAATTCTTAATGATTCATCATTAAAGAATGATACGATACCTATATATCTAAAGACAATCAGCTGATAAAGTTAAGAACAACCGTTTTCTCATGTGGTTCTCATCCCTGTTATAGAATAGAATTACTTGGAGAGCTTTGAAAAACTACACCTGGGCCCCACCCCGCACCAATTAATTCGGTCTCCACTGGCGAGACCCCAGCAAATTGACATTTTCTTTTTAAGTTCTCTAAATGGATCTACTATATGTAACAGGATTTGAAAACCAGTGATCTAGATGGTGTTTTGCTTTTTTGTTGTTGTTGTTTTTCATTTTGAAGTAAAAGTATGCAAGAAATGTTAATGTCTCCGAAAGGGCCATTTTTAAGCCAGTTGCTGCTGTGCTGCTGTCAATGATCTGTAAAGAAATCAAGAAAGTAAAGCGAACTTGTTAACCTTGTTGATGTAAGTAAAACTATACTTCACACTTCATTCACACTTCAGAAGAGAACTTCATAGCACAATGTCTTTCTATGAGATGTTTTTAATGATTTAATATTTTACATTTGTTTACCATGTTTTGATACTCCATATTTTCTATCTTCCAGGTTTTACTAAATGAAAAACTGTATTATTTTCTAAAGAAACAGTCATATTTTTATACAAAATTATGTTTTCAGGCAACAACTAGATTTAGGGGTACAGCAGTACATAAGCAGTATTACCCGTGTCTGGGAGTCAGTATTATAGGACAAAGGATAAATGCGGAACATATCCCACCTTTGCTGCCCCTCATATGCCTGTATACAGATGTGCTGTGGTCATTTTATATGCAACATATCCTTGTCAGATTAACTTTGTTGTTGTTAAGTGCCATCGAGTCAGTTCTGACTCAGCGACCCTGTATAGGGTTTCCGAAGAGCGGCTGAATTTGAACAGCTGGCCTTGTGGGCCAGTGCTTATCCTACAGCGCCACACCAGGACTCCTCAGATTAGTTTAGCCTGACTTATAAAAGGAGAAAAAATACTAAAGGTTGTGTAGAGTTCTACAGTCATAAATTATTTTGCTTGTGTCAAATGCTTGAAAAGAACCAAAGTTTCAGATATTAGAATGTATTAAAGTATCTCGTTCTCTGTATAGAAGGGTATAAGTATGAAAGGGTCATCTAATGGCTACTTTACTTATAAGTCATTAAATAATCATTTCTTACAAATGCTTAAGTGACAAATCTTGGTAAAGTTTGAATTCTAAATGGTCCAGGCCTTGATGTGGTGCATTTCTGTAGTTCTAGTTTGTCTTGTAAACCTAGGGGGGAAACATAACTAAGCAAGTAGCGCTGTATACTTTATTTTCTCTCTATGTCAGCCAGAATCAGGCCTTCAGGGTTTCACCAGCATTGTTAGTGGTTTTGCTCACCCGTTTTCTAATTGGATTTATGAATAGTTTCGTGGGTTTTCAAAATGAAGATGCTAAGAAGTTTTGCATTTTGACCCACTGTTTGCAGAATTATATATATATATGTATATGAAATATCCATTTTGAATGATCTACATTTTTGTATTTGGGAATTGTTTTAAAAAATAAAAAAAGGAAAAGAAAAGTATAAAGCTGTTATTTATTCTGCCTTTGTTACATATCCATCGCTAGCCAGTATACCAATTTGGTATACATTGCCTCTATACTCTGACATTTGTATTTGTAACAATGAGCTTTATAGCTACGTAAACTGTAAATAATCCTTTCTGTGAAAGGATCACCATATCAGGATGATACCAAATGTGTGTTAAGAAAAAAAAAAAAGAACTGCTTTATTTTGTAATTATTTCTGATAGGCATTTCATGGTAAGATTAGCGATCAATAAAGTTACTTTTTATTTGTCATTAAAGTGTCTTTTTTAATTACTACAGTTAACAGTTCTAGGATAAGCAAGAAACATTAGATTACTTTCTAGTGCTCTTTCCTACCGAGGGGCAGGCACATCAAAGGGCAAATACAAAATCCAATGTGATAGAACTCTGAACAAAACCTTCTTTGTTACAATGATCGTAAGTAACTGTCACTGTGTGTCGGTCACTTTTTCACAACATGTGTTCAATCATTTCATCCTCAGATGTCCCTATGGTGGTGGTGGTATGCCATGGAGTCGCTTCCTAAGGTAGGTCCTATTCATTATTTCTGACTCTACAGCAATTAACAACAATTTTATTTCATGTCACAGGTAATAGAAAGGAAGTTCCATGCAATTAAGTCAATATTTGTTTCCATACTGTGGGGCTGAAATGGTTCTACTTTTTAAAACATAACAATATTTTTCTTTTCCTTACTAAAATAACTATTGTAACATAGTCTGAAAATAGTCTGCATTGGAGTGTTGGCTTTCATTTCAAAAAATATATTGTTAAGTACCGTCAAGTCGGTTCTTGCGCATTGTTAGTTGTTATGTGCCATCGAGTTGGTACCGACTCATAGCAACCTTGTGCACAGCAGAACGAAACACTGCCCAATCCTGGGCCATCCTCACTACTGTTGCCACGCTTGAGTCTATCGGTGCTGCCACTTGGCCATTCCATCTCGTTGGGGGTCTTCCTCTTTTTCTCTGACCCTCCACCTTACCAAACATGATAACCTTCTCCAGCAACTGGTCCCTCCTGACAATATGTCCGAAGTATGAGAGACAGTTTGGCCATCCTGGCCTCCAAGGAGCACTTTGGCTGCACTTCTTCCAAAATGGATCTATTGGTTCTTTTGGCATCCCATGGCACTTTCAATATTCTCCTCCAACACCATAACTCAAAAGCATCAATTCTTCTACGGTCTTCCGTATTCACCGTCCAGGTTTCGCATGCATATGAGGTTATTGAAAACACCATGGCTTCGGTCAAGGCGCACCTTAGTCCTCAAGCTGACATCTTTGCTCTTAAACACTTTAAAAAGGTCTTGTGCAGCAGATTTGCCTAATGCAATACGTTGTGTGATTTCTTGACTGCTGCTTCCGTGAGTGTTGATGGTTGATCCAAGAAGAATGAAGTCCTTGACAACTTCAATCTTTTCTCCATGGATAAGAATGTTGTTTATTAGTCCAGTGGTGAGGATTTTTGTTTTCTTGACATTGAGATGTAATCCATACCGAAGGCTATGCTTGTGACAGGGGCAGAGATGGGGACATGGAGAGGGGGAGCAGCTGAGGGCTCTAGATTCATGGGAAGAGAGGGACTAAGAGTCGGTGACCAGGAGGCAGATTTGCAGAATGTGCCCTTTGGAGATGTAAATTATTATATATGCATTACTGCTTTTTGTTTTAAAGCTAACGTGGATACAGAGAAACACTGTAAATTGATGATATGTGGAGGGGATTATAATCATTGTAATGAACAAGGTGTATGATTTTTTTTTAATGTAAAACTGATGATCTGCCCTGTAAACTTACTGAATTCACAGTAACAACCTTAAAATAATAATAATAATAATAATCGTTCTTTTCCATGAACTTATTGAAGCCCCCTTGTATTACTTTTAAATTAAAATTAGAAAAATAGAGTACTACATGGATACTTTAAAATTTTTTAATTGGCACAATGTCTACTTCTCAACTTAGCTACACATTACAGTTACCAAATGGAGAGTTTTTTTTAAATAGCAATGTCTGTGTCCTAGTACCAGAAATTCTGATGTGTTTGATCTGCAGTGAACTTGGGCACTGTTGTTGTGAAATGCTGTCTAGTTGGTTCCGACTCATAGTGACCCTGCATAAGGCTTCCAAGGAGCAGCTAGTGGGTTTGAACCACCAACCTCGTGGTTAACAGTCCAGTGCTTATCCTACAGCACTACACCAGTAGCCTGTGCATGGGTACTACTAAAAACTACATATGATGCTGATGTGTGATGGTGGTGATGTGCCATGGAGTTGGTTCTGACTCATTGTGACCCTGCGTAGGTCTTCTGAGGCTGTAAATCTTTACAAGAACAGAAAGTCTCATCTTTTTCCCATGGAATGACTGTAGTTTTGAACTGCTAACCTTGAGGTTAACAGCCCATCTCGTAACCACGATCCTACCGGAGCTCCTTGATGCTGATGTATAGAAGAGCTGCAATCGATATCTCAGCCCAAGCACTAGAAGCCAACCAACCTATTTACTTTTGATCCATATATAGGATGGGTTGAGTCT